GACTTTGTTGATTTTTATTGCTCCAGAGGGATCTCTTCTTTCTTTCAAGAATTTATTTTCAATCGTTATAATTCATCATAATCATCTTATTTACTTAGTTATAAAATAATCAATTTAAATGTGAATCATATTCTCTTCTTGACATTAATCATTACTAATATATTGATATTTGTCAATCTATGGTGACTTTTAGGGCCATTGTATTTGTTGGAACTTTCACATCGCATTATTTTAAAAACGTCATAATAATTTGTATTTTTTTTTATCTTATTTTAGTTTATATTGTTATATATTATTATAAACCTATTGCACCTATATATACGTAGAAGCAATAGGTTTATTATGATATAAAGATACGTATAAGGTAAATAAGATACATAACATATTATCGTGAATGTATGATTTATTTCATTTTAAAGAAAACTTTCAGTTTATCTCCTATCGGATCAACGTTGGAAACTTATTAAAGTTTCCTCATAACTCTTTATTCGTTTTTTTTCTCTCGTAAAAATAAGGATAATTTATTTGTTCATGAAATAGATCTTTTGTAATACAAATGAATATGATTTATAATGAATTTTCTAAACTTTTAATTGTTGTTTTAGAGTCTTAGAAAGGAAATGTCCATACCTTGCATTCACTGTAATGTTTATTCCAATAGTCTGGATTTTAATGAAATAAACGCTCGCATGAGCAAATATTAATATCACATTACATAATAATCAGTGTAATATCAAGATAATATTGTACGATTTTCTTGTTAAATCCAGAATATGCTAATTTTCCGAATTCAAACCTATTGATATCGTGTATTTAGATTTGTATGTATATGCGTGCGTGCGCGCGCGCGTTGGTGCGTGCGTGTGTGCGTGTGAAATATAATAAGATGTTTTCTATATTCATATGATAATTATATGATAATTTAGTTGTCTTTGAAAATTGCGTAATATAAACAAACATCATATAGATACATATTAGTTATAAAATATTATATAAATAACACATGGGTTTGTGGGTAACAGTAAAAATATCATCCCGAGGAAAATACTGTTACCCGAGGCGTAGCCGAGGGTAACAGTATTTTTACGAGGGATGATATTTTTACTGTTACTCACAAACCCATGTGTTATTTATTTTATTACCCCGAACAAAAATACTGAGATGATCTGAAATTGTCAACTTAATCTAACTGTAACAAAAATAAACCAGGACATGCAGGAGTAGCAATAACTAAACTGTCCTTACCTTTTAAGTTTTAAGTGTACTTTACTGTAGGCTACTTGAGAAGTTTTCTTTTTCTTTTATTCTTTAAGCAAGTGATGATATCTACAAATCATAAACATACAAAAAGCTAGGTTTTATTTAGGAAACAAAACATTAACCCATTTACACGGTTATGATCTGTGAAATCGGATCCTTCTGTTTCCAGAATATTCTTAGCATGGTTTTTGACGAAATAACGATTATATCCTATGTCCACCATATCTGTAACGTTTCACTGATTAAATTTGTTAAATAATCCTTTGTTGCATGCTTAAATCTTCTGCATTTTTCAGTTTGACACATAATTATATACATTGCAATCACTTCCGTTGAAAACGGATGTTCACTTTTTGACTATTGAGCAAAAAGATATTTTATACGCGAAAAGAACACCAGGGTACAAACAACTAATTTTTACGAGTGTCATAGGGACTCCAGAGGAGAAATTGATATCATATCGGGGTTTAACGTTGAAAATAAGAATGAATCGAGAAAAAAATGGCGGCCATTTTATGTCATTTTATTTAGGAAATAGACCACGTGACCGCTTAAAAAATACTGTTACCTATGTAACAGTACAAAATTTTTAGTCACGTGGTACACTTGCATTAACAGTAAAAATAACAACCAGAGGCCTATGGGAAATTAGCATTACGAAAAAAGTGAGGGGTAATAAAATATTATGTCCTCTATTGCACTATCTTTCATACATGATTCTTGGATTGAATTTCATTTAAGAATAAACAGCATTTAAAACAAGATTACATGCCTTTCATTTAAAATATTATTAATAATTTAATTTCATATATTGGCAAATCGGCATAATAAATGCCTTTGACCATTTACACATACTAATATACATATGGTCAAGACATACAGTATACATAAAAGATACACAAATAACTACACATTTAATCTTTACATAATAAGTAATCACCAAATATCAAACATTATGAAAATTCTTAACTCACAAAGGAAATAAGTCCTACGAAGCAGCATTATTTATTATTAATCTGCACCGGTTAAACGTGAATGAAATAATTTGGCTGCCGGAAATATTTGAGAAGAACTGCTATTTGATATTTATAAAAGTGATATTATGATCATTTTTCATTGTCAAGTTAAGATGAATTGACTTTATATATTTTAAAAGATTGACTGTTATAATGGTGAGTGGCTGTTATAGTCGTTGATAATGGAAAATGTTTTGGATAAAATATAAACCTGCCTTAATTAATTATAGATAGACTGTCCACACTTTTTATAAATTGAATATTTTAGGTAATATCCGATGGATATTTATAGAAATTTCCTGAAAGCAATGCAAGTATTTTATCGTTTTTTATCGTTTATACAAAGTACAATGTAATTTTTAAAAAAAAATGGCAAGAAATATGGCAAAATGTAAACTTATTTTTATTTACTCCTATTCACTCACTATATACCCTTGGTTGGGCATAATGTCTCCTTAAACATGTGGTATTTTTACTCCAATTAAATGATCATTATTTATGCAACATTTTACTTGCGTTTCATAATTGACAGTGGCTGGTTACAAAATTACAAAAAAAGTATATAATGTATAAATGTATTGCAAAACGAACGTACGTATAAAAGCAATAACTGGTACTGCTTTCTCGATACATCTATTAAGTGGCTTGATTGGTATCAGTTTAACTAACACCCATTGTATTCCCTGTATAAGGTTTTTTTTTTTAACTCATTGATAAATCTTAAATGAAAACGTGTTTATAGTTAAGAATAACAAAGGCAATATGAAATTGCAAAAGCTGTCCATGTTACGAATAGATTGGCGACTGCATTTTTGTTTGTTTTGTTTTACCAAGAGAGATGTTGGTGTTTTTAAGAGGCAGAAAGTCCTCGTATCCGCCCATTCCCGAGCCTCGTCTCCATTATTTCTTGGGAATGAGCATAAACTCCTTGCTCCCTTACAAAATTTAGAACAGGATTTATGTTTTTCCACTTTTACATAAATATCGTATTTTGCATTTTTGAAGTTTCTTTGAACTTTTTACATAACTGAAATATGTATTCACTAAACGTTTATATTTATCCTAATTGTTCTATTCATTTTATAAATATTCTAAGCATTTTATTTACAGCGTACGATACCGTAAGCTTTGTACTTAATTTCCCGCTTAATGGATTTCAGCCAGTTTGGACGCTAATTTGACTTTTCAGAATGGGTCAAGGGTAACAGCGTGGCACCCACCAGTTATTATACATGCATCATCTCATCTTGCAAAAAAAAAAACAACATTAAAATATTTTCTGTGCTATATTAAATTTGCGACTCTCGTGCAAAGCAGATAGCCCAGTGTTTTGCTAACATGGTATAGTTTATTATTCTTAATTAAATGGTTCTCATCGTCAAATTATGAATCATCTGAAATTGTGACTAGGTGGTACATTTAAAAGTTAACATTTAATAAATTTGTCGTACATCTACTTACGTATGCTTATGTTGTACCCGTTATTTTCAAACTTGGGATTATCTGTTCAAAATCTTTGTAGGACATCACAAAATGACGTAGGAATTCATGTGTCATAAGTTTTTTTTCAACTTTAACTTAATCTTGAATTTCCGTTCATGTAACTGAAGATTTAAACTGAAATAAAACAAAAACTATGTAACAAAATAATAATGATAATTATAGATGTATAAGGGGGATCCAGGTACTGATCTTTTGATGCTTCTTGATAATTTATATTTGTTAAAAAAATCCTACTATATTTGAACCCTTGGGCCGGATATATATGAGTTTGTGACAGTTGGTACAAAAAAAACTTGAAATATTGTTTTGATATTTTTATCAGATTTTTACACAAATTTTGTACAAATGAGTAGGACAAATAGATGAAAATACTACACAATTTAAATACATGTGTCAATACATGTTTCGCTTCATCTGTTGATACAAAACGAAATTAGTACAAAGAAGAGGGGTGGTGGTATATGTAAATGAATTTCATTTCTACATATATCAGTTAAAATACACCAGTTATACTAGTTTCTACATATAAACATTCTTAAATTCGCCATTCTTTCAATCATGAGATATTTTATTTCTGTATAATAACATGAATTACCTTACTGAGAAATCATTAAGCTTCTCAGAAAATTAACTTTTCCTTGCAGTTTAACACATCATTCTCTAGCGACGATCTGATTAAAATGATAAAGCAAATTCTAATAAAATCTAAAAAAGATTTATTTTACAAATAAAAGCTTTTTATTTTGATGACCTAATACAATTTTTTTAAAGTGATTTGCCTTATAGCGGAGCCATCATTAGCTTCTATGGCGTTTCGAAGTACAGAGATGTCAGAATAGAGAAAATAAGAATCCCTAAAAAGGTCCAAAACGGCAAAATTAAAACTGTTGCACATTGTTTTGAATGAGGCTGTACATAGACGGTACTGTCAAGGGCAAACTACTGTCCCTGCTCCCTGGCACCGCTTCAAGCAGAATTGAACATTTAAACATCAAATGGTAATCGATTTTCAATTTATTTTCGAGTAATTAGATAATTATCATTTTTATAATTTTCCGTTTGAATTGCCCAACGTGATCTATTTTAGATTTTCAGGCATTATAGTTTTAACATTTTGAACCTCAAGCCAAGAACAATTTCAAAATATTTATATCAGGACATGAAGGGTTGTGTGAGGGTGGGGCGGAGTTATGGTGTTGCAAAAAAGACAACTATTTGTCGTAATGAAAATGGTTTTCTTTTATTGCGTTATAAAACAAGTATCTATTCAATAAATATCCGGGAATATCATTGTAAAGTTTTATTTATTTCCTTCACTTCCGTCTCAAAACAATATACCAGAGTATTCTTGCTATAAGTCCGATGACTATTATCACAATAACGTCATCAAAGACTGACCACGTGATATTTTGCGCAATCAATACGAATTTAGACGGGAAATGTGTCACTGTTTGATTTGTTTCTGGGATCGTCATGTTACAAACTGGCACCATGCTGGCAGAACCGCACCTGTAAATAAAAATATACTTGTCAAATACAGACGTGATTTACCAAACAAATAGTGTGAAATTATTTATTTCAATCACTAAAAGATTTACACTAAAAATAATGTTGAAATGTTTATTTCCGTCAATAAAGGATTTACTCTAGAAATTGTGTTGAAATATTTATTTCTATCCCTAAAAAATTTACAATAAAAATGTGTTTAAAGTTATACTTTACTCAATCTTAATATTAAGAAATATTGATAATAGCTACACAGTCTCTTTGTAAATATAAAATAAACATGTACTGACTTCACACAAAACTGATGTGTTCCGTGAGATTATAGTTGGTCACAATATAAATAAAAAGTTAAACTGCCAGTTTTTTTTAAAGAAAGAACCAACTTCACTTGACCAGTAATAGGGAATGCAGCTTTCCAATCATACATTATTCTTTTTTTTTTTCAAATAAGACATATCAAGCAAGAATATTAAGGATTTCAATAAATCTTTGCGATTGAGATATTTTACTCGAGGATGAGCATAGTATATTAATTTCCATCACTAAAGAATCGACACTAAAATAGTGTTGAAATATTTATTTCCATAGCTAAAATGTTGTCACCAATGCGTTACACATCAATCAAAGAACAAGAATATGTAAAATTAATTAACATCCTTATTTTTTGCAGTTAATGATTAAAATACTTTTTTCAAAAGATAGATGAATCAGTATGGTTTTTAATTCATATGTAACAAACAGTTTTATGCATGCATATCAATAAAAAAAAATTCAAAGTTTTATTAAAACTTTGTATTTGTGGCCAACAAATATATTCTTTTTTTCCATAAAAAGGCATCTTTTCAAGTTTAACTACATATATTTTAACAAAACAGTAAAGCATTTATTGTACATTGTAGCATAATTACAACGTATTTCACCAAAGAGTACTTGTCTCACGACAAACTCTTAACTTTGCTAACTAAATACGTACTTGATCGGCTCAGCATTTTGGAATTCCAGTGTAATAAGAGCATTCAGTCCGTATGTGAAATAGGACGCAAATTTTCCCCATCTTAACCATGGAGGAGGTGTACAAAATGCCCCACCTGATTTATAAATAAATACGAATAAAATCACAATCAATATAGCATAAAGCACAATTTCTAACAAGATAACATTGGTATTTCAACGAAAAATAAAAATTGTTAAACATTTTCTGAATATCATTTAAAGTCCCGTCTTGTTAAAAAAACTCAATGGAAGTCCCTTGTTTAAATGGAAGAAATGGGAATATAAGCATTAGTATTACGTAATGAAACAACATTGGATCGAAGCAATATATGTAAATGCATAATTTAACGATGTTTAAAAACAGATGAAACCTAGGTGATATAATTATATCTATTGGTAATTTGCAGCGTTGATTAATGCATTAAAGTGTCATATAAAACTGCATCATCTAGAGCAGTCATTCATATAAAATATATCTTAAAATTAAATTTACATAAAATATATTTCAAAATCAAATGTTCATAAAATTTATCTTAAAATTAAATATACATGAACTATAATTCATCAAAGTCCTGTTAAGTTAAAAAAAACATCTTCAAAATCTTAATAGCTTGATATAATTTGTATAGTAATTGGGCTGTAAAACAGGTGGTACATTTTAAATAAAAGGGAAAAACAGAGTAAACCATTTGAGTTTAACTTATTACATTACTTGCATGCATCTGATAAAAAAAGTATTTTCATTTAAAGTTTATAATATCACGCACACATCCTAAAAACAGAGAATCACATTTCAACGTTTCTTTTTTTCTGCTTTTATTTTTTTTATTGATGATAATTTTGAAAAATATTTATAAACACCCTACCCCAAAGCATCATTGACAAAAGTCCAAGTGAGACAACACTGATAGTCCAAGGTGGATTCAGAGCTGCGCCGACAAATAGTCCTATACTCTAATAATACAAGAAAAAAAGGCTGTTAGTTATTTAGTATAAGGAATGTCAAATTCCGGGATAATACAGAAGCTATTTATTTAAGAACAAAGTTTTCTTTTTTTGGGGTTTATGATCAAATTCCTCAGGACTAATTTATATTTGAAACTACCTTAATATTTACTGTATATTCATTGTTTTAAAACAATCATATAATATTGCATTTACATTTTTGTGTCTTAGTTTGTGATCAGACAATTCTAACAATGACAATTTATTTTGAGGTTTGCTTTCGACAACAAGACACCATCCGACACATTGTTAAGAAAGAAAACGGAAAAACGATACAAATTGTCAGGAATATAATGTATACAGAGCAAAATTAAATAGTTAATGAGGATTCTTTTTTACATTCACTGATTATACCTGAGCTGTGACAACGTCAACTATAAGTACACCAAGTGAGGCCAGGAAAGCAGAGACGCTGTTCAGATTTGCCACCCAGTAAATTACAATCATATAAACACATGGCTGTATTATGGCCAAGGGAATCTCGCTGATCGTTTTAGACAAACAGTATGCAGACGTTCTGTATAATTTATTCTGCATTTCTGAAAGTATCACTCTCATCTCCTTTGGGACTGAAAATATACGTGTATTATGTATTGATATGTGGCACTGAATTATACATTCAATTTGTTAAAGGCAAACATGAATATTTCTATTTTGTCTAAAAAGCCTGAATTTTACGTACAATAGGTATATGGTTTGGGTTAAAATCTTTGTTCTCTTCTAAAATAGATTTTCTATAAGATTGATTATTGTTATTCAAGACAAAATTGAATTAAAGCTAAATTTCTATTAGTATTTAGTGATTTACTTTTACCTTGGCGATAAGCATGCATTTACATATGAAATTGAACTACAAGATAGGTAAATACAAAAAATAAACCGGGTTTCCTGATGCACTTGTATATGAACTTGAAATAAAATAAAGATAAAAAGAAAAATCAAATCACATTAACTCGTTTGGCATTTTTCTGTTGATCAAACGCGTCATGGGTTAAATAATTTCCTTGTACTCAATATTTGTGTTTGTTTATCTTTTACAAAACATGTCTTGACTGGCTTTGCACCAGATAGCCTATCACGGACCTAATTATGGTAAAAAGGTCACATTGAAAGTCTACTTACATGTCAATATTGCATCAAGCAGTGCAAAGAAAGCCCATTGCACAACGGTGAAAAAGAACTAAAAGAAAAAGCAATATTTTTGAATATGTGAATTGCATATTTACCTACAATGATTTCAAGAATTTATTAAGTTATTATCTAAAAAGTATTGTATGGTTTACAGCATTTCTTTAAAAAAACTTAATTTTATTTATCAGGACAAACATATTTCGACAACGTTGCGTATTATAACATAAAGGCTAAAGATTAAACACTAAGTGTTGATTCTATCATATAAACTTTTTATTATAAAAACAATGAGTATAATGACAAATGGATTTACAAACCAATCCCATTCTGTCTTTGATTGTTTCTTCTGTCCGTTCCGGCTGCCACCAAATCAAAACACAAATGACCAAAATATAAAGATTCTGTATAACACTGAAAATATGAATAAATTAGAATAATGTGCGGTTTTTGTTTGATATTTCATTTACGTTAAAACGGGACGTCACAATAAGTTAATTTTAATATAGGCTTGCAAGTGCAGAAAAATTACGGGACCAAAAGCATACTTTAAGCACCACAAAATGACACATATCATATCATACCATATAATACAATATAATTATATCGATGATATCAAATAAAAGGTAATGTTTGATGTGGTTGGAAAAGCTTGCACACATCGGTTATATTGTAAACAAATCTTTATTTATATATGTGAAATATGTTACTATGATATACCTCCAAAGAGTTTTTGTAAAATGTAAACATATGCTGTTGCACAATATTGTAATATTGTACTTAAAAATATAAACAGATGTATGATAGTTAATATAAACAGTTGAGACGTAATTTTTGCCCAACTATCACTAATATATATGTATGAAAATATCCAAGCAGAGATTACCATATAATTGTTGCGTAAATCCTCTATGTTTTCAAGATCATTTTTCTCGTTAATATTAACATGAAAGTAATGTTGTCAGACATACCTTACAGGAAACAAAATTCTTCTTCTGGAATTGTAGAAGTTTCTTGAAGTCAACACCTTCATCTGATTCCAGAACGATGTTCTGCAAGATGATGTGGCATCTTCTAAAGTCATCTTTTCCATTTGTAAAGAAAATGTTTGTTTCTCCAAATTTACTTTCATTTGATCTGCATAATGACATGAATTGAAAGGTTTAACAAATTGTTGCTTGTTTTTTTTATAAAGCAAGCCCTTTATTGAAATTGCCAAGGACAGCTAATATGAACTAAACTTTTTTGAAATATAAGTATCTTATAGTTAAAAGGTTGTTGAGATAACAATTTAATTTATTCCAATCTAGTAGTTGATAACGTTAAATTTTTTATTTAAGATATAATTTTACATTTTTTACCTTGATCGTTTAGTGAATCGCAGAGAAGGTCTGTTTCTCGTATCTTGTCTACATCGTGATCGTGTTCATTCCCCAGCAAACCATTGGGAACCCATATGTCGTCATGAGCAGATATATATGTCCTTAAATGTAAAAGATCGAATATGATTTTTAACCTCGGGCCGTTTCTCTCCATAGTGGTATATCTTGGCGTATATCCTTATATGCATAACGAGGAAATTTACATGTTTTTCGCCGTCTGGGGCTTGAAAATAATGTTTCGCTTTAGTCGAAAATTCATTTTAAGCGAGTTCGTATAAAGCTATGTGATTTAATATAAAATAAAGAAGGAATCAACGATAATTCGTTATAAGCGAGTTCGTTATCAGTGGAGTCGACTGTATTAGTTTTCTTAGGCGTCTTGCTTGGCTCCTTGCCGGGGGTAGTGTTGCTAGGTCGTGTTGGGGGATGTGTTCATTGAATGCTACGCTTCCTTGTTGATCTTGTTTTTTCATATTGTATAGAAAAAAAGGAAATAGGCTTCACAGTACAATTTACACTTTTAACTGTAGATCAATTGGTTGTGCTTAAATCGTATAGGCAAATGTTTTAGTACATATTTTCCATGACAGTGGATTGGAATGTCAAAAATTATGTACGGTTAAAATGCTTTGATGTTTTTTGTCTTTCCTTATTGTTGCTTTTCTGTTGGTGCTATTTATATTTAGAAATCAACATGCATAACAAAGTATTCATCCTCAGAGCACGTAAAACTAATAAAAATGGGAACCCAAGATGTCTTGCTACAAGGTATTACATGCAGAAAGATAACGCATATTTGGCTCTATAATCGTTTATTTTTTCTTATGTAACAGGGTAACATAGGATATATCTGTTTATAAAACCGATACGAGTAATGCAAAAAGAGTATCTGTGTTTAACTTACCCATTTTTTCTTATCCTAGTAAGTAGAGAGTTTTGTATACTGGTCGTGTGATTGATCCCGCTTCCCAAAATACTCACTTAAATAATAATAATTATAATAATGATAATGATAAAATTAGATAAAAGAAATAGCAAAACTCACTTAAACAATAATAATAATTGATAAAATTAAATTAGAGAAATAGCAATGCTCGCTTAAATAATAATGATTGACAAAATAAGATAAGAAAAAAAAGCAATAATCAATTAAACAATAATTATAATTGATAAAATTAGATTAGAAAAATAGCAATACTCACCGAAACAATAATAATAATTGATAAAATTAGATTAGAAAAATAGCAATATTCACTTAAACAATAATTACAATAATTGATGAAATAAGATTAGAAAAATAGCAATATTATTCAAATTAAGAGTCAAATTAATATTTAAGCTTTTTTTGTACTTTGGAAGACATAAGATCATATCATTGAAAATATTAGCATTTAATCTTCCGCTCGGTTTTGTCAAAGATATATGACATTAAAGCAGCACAAGCATAAATTTTCAAGAACTGATCATCAAGATGTTTAATAGTTGTGCATTTAAAAGAATAAAATGCTTCAAAATTAAATAGAACAAGTATGATACCTGCACGACACGGAGTTCTAAACATTTAAAAATAAATATGTTGTGCGCAGTTTGTAGGTTTTATCTCAAATGCCAAACGCAATGATTTTAGATATCGGAAGTAAACATCCATCACCAAAGGTCAAAAGCACTGAACTTTTAAAGTATATCATATTTGTTTAGCATAATTATCACTCAATTATATGTCGGAAAATTAATATTTTATGTTATCTGATTATGCTAACATTAAAATGAATGATGTTGAAACAGCTTTACTTTAAAATAACACACAGAGAGTGGCCATATGAAAACTCAGTAGTAGATTCAATAAACAAACTTGTAAAATTACATAACAAATATTATGTTTATATTGCTGGTAAAATTATGCTGGAAAAAAAGATATGCTCTTACTAAGATGTTCAGCGGGACTATCATGTAATGATGTTGGACAACCAGCTGCTCTTAGGAACGCCTCCAACATCGCTGGATTTCCTTGATAAATAGCCTATAAAAAACGACACTCAAAATAAAATAAAATAAATGGAGAGGTTTCTAGACAGTTGATTAAATAAAGTATAAAGGTTAAAAATTGCACAATCGGTATGAAGAATTCAATCTTCTATAGTTAATTGAAGCTGCAGTCAATCATTGACATAATTTAATGTTAAACTCAAGTATCCCGATTTGATTTTGTAATCCTTTGTTCTTTAATTAGACTGTTCCAAATTCAAAGCAGAGCAAATCAATTACAAAATATCCAGAAGGGTAGTTGTTAATTGTAAAAAAACAAGATAAAATAAAGTTACCTGTCCTTGATTAACAAATAGAACTTTCGAGCATCGGTTGATGAAATAGTTTAAAGGACTAGATAAGCTAACGATGATAGCTTTATTAGTCTGCTGGCAGATTTTTGTCAAAATATCTGTCATTTTGTAACAGTCATTGCATGACATACCCGATAATGGTTCCTGAAACAAACATTTTTTAAAAAATGTATTGTATTTTGGGTAAAAAACCAACAACAAAAACAACAACAACAAACAGAAAGAAAACAAACACACACGAACAAAACACCCAGGAAACATGTACTTTAAAATCCACAGCTATTCAATGGTGTTAGAAATAAGAAAGGTGTAATAACTTTTGTTTTACCCGAAAAAACACGGCTTCCTGAAACGGCAAACTATGATAAATGACCAAACATGACATTGTGATTGAGCAAGTCCCTTAAGTTGAAAAGAAGTAAGAAATATTATTATACGTTGACAAACTGGTGTGATGATGTCTTGGTTGGTTTATATCATTTAAAGTAAAAACTCTGAAAACCGGACCCTTCGAAAACGGAATCCTCTGAAATCCAACCATTTTTAAAAGCCCGTATTTTCTTCCTATATGTTCATTGAAAAAAAATCCTCTGAATACCGGAACCTCAGAATTCCGAAAACCGGACGATTTTCTATGGCTTCTTATGCTTAACATGCATTAAAAATCCTCTGAAAACCAGACAGCAATTTAAAGTGTCAACTTTCTGTGTACTTTACTGTAGATCTAAACATAATCTCAACTGGTGACATGTTCAATTACTTGGTAATGGTCATCTCCTTTTATATATGCCGCTATGATGTATGTTAATTTCTTATATAGCTGTTTCATCATATTTGTGTCTTTCCTCGTATAGATATGATTTTTCAAAAAATCATTTAATGTGTTATGGTTTTTTTTAATGTAAAATGTCTAAAAGAATTGGAAAACTTTTTTCAATGATTCCTGTTTTGCTTTAAATTTTATCTTAATGTTATATTTGTTTTGATATCAATTACAAGTATATGCAGAAATAGTATTACTATAAAGTAGTATTAATTCCATTAATTACATATTTCAAAGCTAATGAAAAAGATATTATGATATATTTCATACAATGTGGTGTTTTAATTTCTGATTTTCTGAATTATATTCATGGATTTGCATAATACAATAACTTAAGACATTTATTGCAAAAAGAAATAAAACTATGACTTAGACAAAAGTGTAAAAAAGTAAATACAAAATGATTGAACAAAGTCATTGTTTAAACACAGCATAATTATCAATGAATGTATAAAACCTCTGAAAATCGGAATCATCTGAAAACCGGACTTTTGTTAAAGTCCGGACAGAGGTTAGTTTTCAGAGATTTTACTGTACAAACTAATGTCTCAATATCATCAAAGAATTGAAAAGCTTACATCAATTACTAGAACACCTGTACACTGTAACAATTCACATGCTATCCCTAGACAAACTTGTTGAAGCTTTGAACAAAGTTGTGCGGCTGGAATTAAAAATATATCTCTAATCAGATTTGATAATCGTTACGAAACATTTTTTTCCAACAATTTTAAATAGTGAACACATTAGATAAGATGACAGTTGGTCTTAATTTCAGTTTCGAAAACTTTATAACATACATGTAGTAATGAATAAGAATATAAAAAGATATTTTGCTTGGTCTCTTTAAGGATTTAACATACTCAATAAAACCCAGTCTGTAATTGTCAACTATTTGCTTTGATTTAATTTCTCTCAAGGATCGACTTTTATACGGGAATATAAGAAGTTTTAGTTACGTAATGTTGCACAGTCTGTTAGTCCCGTAATTGTCTGAGCCGTCTTGATTTGGTCCAGCTTCTCGGAGCGTGAAATATCCTTGTCTAGTCGTAAATAGCCAGCATACTGAAAAAAAAGTTCTAACTGCATTAACCCTTAAACATACTAGAATAAAATATAATTGGCATTGTCACCATCAAAGACCCAGTAAAAGTAGCACGGATATGTTATGCTGTTGGTAGTTCACTTATTGTATGAATTAATTGAAATTCATTGTCCTTTGTACCGGCTGTTTCAATTACAAAGCAATGCATATTTGTCAATTACAAAACAATTACTTGCTCACCATAGGGTCGAAAGACTTCTAATGCAAAGAAGTGAAGAGCACTAATTTGACTGCAATGGCTGTTCATTTTGACTGTTCACTAGGTTGAAACATATCATATAAATAGTTATATTACATGGCCGAAACATATTTTAATAGTATAAAAACACCGTTTTTTTAAATTTTATTTGGATAGAATCATTTTTGTTTTGTTACTAAAGTGATATTATGTTAAGCATATCAGAAAAAAAGTTGATAAAACATCTTAGTCTTGACCATTCCGTTTGTATTTTGTACAAATGCGTTTTATTAATTTACAACTATAACATTTTATTTGGCTTGACAACAAGATTACACCCTGTTGGCTCATACATGTACGCTCGTATGAGTATATCAACATTGTAGATGGTCAGAAAAATACAAACATCGTGCTGCAAGGTCACAAAATAAATATTGAAACCTCATTTTTAAAACATGTGTATTATAATAATAATAATAATAATAATAATAATAGATCTAATAATAATAATAATAATAATAATATAGGAAAATATTCAAAGTTTGAATCATCATATAACATATTGGCTTTGCACTTGTCCATGGCTAAATGCTGAGTTACCTTAGCACTTGAAAATATCCCTCCTTCAACTATTTGTGCTTCAATATTAGATTTTATATCATATAACCGAGGATATCATAAAGTCAACAACTTATAAAATGTGCGAAAATGTCAATTTTATAGTGCACTATATAATTTGCTGCTTGCTATCAATATTTTATTTGTAGACCTTTTCAAAAGTTATAGACTACGAAATACAATGTCAGTTTTATTGATATCTACAGCTAATCAGATAAATCTGGCAATAAAACTGTCAGACGGATGTACAACAAGGTTATAATCTAGATTTTACCAAAAATAGTCTAAACTTCTGTATTTATTGTCAAACAAAAGTGCTTGAAACAAACTTTTTTATGTTCTGTATGGGCTATAAACTATTATAAGATATACCTGTATACCTTAATATACATATAGAGGCCGATTATGTAAAATATTTGTGTTTATTACATGCTTTTCGGTGGTTTATAGAAATATATCAGTGATATAAAAATGATAATTTCACTGTTTGAAACAGTGAAATAACCACTTTGATAATTTCACTGTTTTGAATTTAAACCCCTTACGTTGTTTTAGTGAAATACCAGCATGCACAATACTGGGTACCAACTTAATGACGTGACTTCGTAAATGACGTCACGTTGTATTATTACTTGGCGCACTTTTCATTCATTATTAGGTTTAATGTCTTTTTAAAACGTGTCTTTGCATGTTATAAAAAGAAAATTTGTTTAGTTTAGTGTAAGATTGAAATATATTTCACCTTGTGAACACCAAAAGTTCAAATATACATTTTGATGCTCACTCAGTGAAATATATTCCGATCTTACACTGAACTAAACAAATATCCTCTATGTCTAGCGCTTGTGTTTGCAAATAGCATGTCTATATTAGACGATATTTTATTTTACCTCTACGGTCTCACGAATTGTCAGCGTTGGAAGAAAAAGCGGATGTGATGTCACAAATGCCACTTGCTTAGACAATGCATCATACTTCTGCTCCACCCCGTTGAAACAGATTGTTCCCTCGTACAGCGGATAGCGTCCAGATAGTACTGACAAAAGAGCAGTCTTTCCACAAGCTGAAAAAAAGTTCATATATAAAATGTGTTTATGTTATTTAAAATATGTAGGTTTATACATATATATTTTTGCTAAATCACATTTATAAAAATTTGGTTTGAAAAAAGTACAGCTCAAAGAAACAACAGTTCGTTTACTTTTCTTTCTTAAAATGTCCATTTATTTATTATATCGATGTTTTCTTTCCTTCCTTTAATAGGATTGGTATACATTTCGTTTATGTTCCGTCTGTCCGTGTGTCTGTAACAACGTTAATCTTGGTCACACTAATTTAATTTTACCTTAAAGCTGCATGCCTCCAGATAATCCAAAATATTTCAAGAAAATTAACTTGGAAAAAACATACTAAAATTTTGAGAAAAGTAAACAAATTAAAGATTCAAGTGATAATTTATATCTTATGTGCAATTAGTGACTGTATTTTGTATTATTTATCACCATATTTCTACTGCGTTACTAACGCAGTAGGGGCTATTTATGCATATTTTGACCTCTTTTTGATAATTTACGTGGATTTTAAGAGCCAATTGTAATGTGTCAAGTACTTTCTTTATTCATTTCACAATATGTTTACCTTTAAATACATTTTCAAAATTTTCATGAAAATTAGGATGAATCTGGGGGCGTGCTGCTTTAAACTTGCCAAAAGTAATAAGGGTTAAGTCTAAATGATAACCATAAGTTAATACTTGAAAAAGTACTTATAACATTGTTTATTTAAACGCTATTTAAATATTTTGATGTAGGCCTACTGCAGTGCATATATTAATTTTGAAGTCGGGATTGGGAATGAGCGTTAGCGCATAAATTATGTATAGTAACTGGCCATGATGGGCATATATACATGTATAGACACATACCAGAACTCGTATATGTTTACAATATAACACTGCTAGATTGCTTCATGTTGTAACCATCAAGTGCATTTAAACATGTATCAATATTGAACAAATATACACTATGGAAATGAAATAATTTTGTGTAGCTGAATAGGCTTAAGTTTTAAAAAAAAAATTCAATGAACTACATTACCGGGAGAGTTGCTTTTATTGCATGTAATGAAATAGGAAAAAAATATCTTTAAATTGCTGTGTTCTATAGACTACCTAATTTCTTTGAAAAATAAAAATATCGATATATAGTCTTATATAATAATGATTTGTATTTATGGGGAAAATAGCTGCAAATATGGCACCATTTATGTGTTTCTTTTAATTCAGACTTTGTGGAGAGGAAAATGATGTCAGAAATTTGACGTAATAAAACGTAGACACTGTATGAAAATGTCAACCTGGCTTATGATGTAGTTTTTGTCATATTATGTCGTATTTGTCCGATGCGCTAGTAGTTATCAATAATTTGTTATTGTGCTATATAGTTCTATTGTTTGTCATAAATAATTACCATAACTAAAAAAAAGAATGTTTCACTATAGTAAAATCTGGAAGAAGGGCGATCCCTTGGAAGCATTAATCATAACAAAATTACATTAAAATTGCATACTTCGATTGAGTCCCTAAATGAGTTTTAATGACATAAATGCCACATTCCCAACGCCCCCTAGCACCGGCTCAAACGTTACTTAATTTTCAACACATAAAAGTGATGGAATCAATGATACCGAGGGACCAGAAAAAATTAACACTGAAGCGAAGTATGGGACAACTTTTTACAACTGCCAGACGGCACATGACACCTGCTCTTGCGAAAGTATGTTTTTATGTGGAATTAAACTGTAGACATTCACTTTAATTAAATGCAAATATTTCCATCTAGGTCTGTACAACCGATAGAATGTAAGAATACCTTTTTTAAAACCATATGAATCTGAGTGTCGAAAGATGTTTTTCAATTTTATGCTCAAACAAATTCGCATGTGTATATGCATGAAACACGTTTTCGTTGTAAACTGACTTTTTGGAAGCAAGTAAGGTATGTAATATCAACAACTATGGCGATACCGAAGCTAGCATTCGGCATGATACCGGATGACATGCATTAAAATTACGTCACAGACCGATTTGATGCGTAATCGGAGAAAAAGCAACATTTGCGACATTCTGCAGCATGGAAGCCTTTTACTAATTGCGCAATTGTTTTTACGCTGTTTTGTCAGGGCAGTGCGGAATAGACAGCTGACGTCAGCTTGGAATTCATCCGTGGAGTCCTGCTGTGCAACATTTGACCCTTAGTGATAAGAACATATAATTTACAGGAATCATGCTTCCATCATAATTGACATCCAAAATTATTCTTAAGAAATCATAGAGTGTTGAAAAAACAGCATGCAAATAAAGTCAATTTATATCATCACACATTTTTATCTGGTCTCTGTCCTTCATTATTTTGGCAGGAACGTATCTGCTCTGAAAAAAAAATTGTTCGCGTTAAACACCACCTGTACAATTTAATAAGTAATCTACGGAATCCAAAAGGTACCATCTTCGTGTTTTTATTTTTTATTAGGCTATTAGGTTAAAAGGATATATGAATTTATTTTCCTATTATGCAGTAATAAAAAAACATTTGATCAGTGAATGACACAAATAGAAATCGAAAAAAGAGAGAAGGAAAAAAGGGAGAGATGACATGTGAGATATTTTCAAAGGAAAAAGTAACTACCTTCGTGTCCAATAACTGCCAATATTTCACCACCATTTACTGATAATTCAATGTCCTGTAAAATGCGCTCACTTTTTTGAAAAATTGACAGATTTTTACAACTTAACTCCATGTTTTATTCTTTCAATTTATCCGTTCATACTAAATTCTTATTTCAGCTCATTATTTTTGTCTTTCTATAGCATGTCAGTCTAACAGATTGTACATCGTTAAAGAAAGGCTGACCATTGTCTTCAACCCTCTTTTTGATTGATGGTTATAAATTCATAAATCAGGCATTAAATACTATTTGTAAACACTCAATATTTATTTTGTAATTATTCAACAAACAATTAAGGTTAACCTCGAAAGGCCAAAAATTAGATTCTACATATATTGGGCTCGGACAATAAATATCAAATTGTTTATTGAGCACTTGATGTTAAAATGCTAATTGAAAAATCGACTGGACATTAATAACCCCGGTCATCTATGCCATAAAATGTTTCATGAAAATAAATTATGCGAAGCTGCATTGCTTCAGACAAACGTGTACACGTGTGTTTGAAAGCGTCTCTTTAAAGGTGATGATATTTAAACTTTACTTGAGAATTATTTTGACAGATATGAACTCTTGTTTAGAAACAATTTGCGAGTTTTCACGAAACCATATTTTATCATTTATCAAATGCAACTTTTTTCATGAAATTAATAATGATTTTTTGCTTTTCCTTTGTCGTTATTGTATATAAAAAAGTATATATTTTAGATTTATCAGACAAAATGTTTTAAAAAAAATAATAAAAAATAAGAAATAAATAGATAAATAAATAAATAAAAAATTAAATAAATAAATAAAATGCCGCTCTTTTATACTCTTGTTTTTGTTGTACAATGTATTAAATGCACTAACTTACTTGTGTGTGCACGTAGGGATAAAGTTATTCAATGGACAGTATACATTATAATTTTGTTTAAACATATTTTATTCGATATATTTACATTATGATGAACAATATTTACACAATAGATTTTGGGATTGGACAGAAAGCTATGAAAGCTTATGAGTGTCCTGTCTCATTTTGTAAAATCACTTCCAGGAAGACCTTATATTTCAGTTAAAAGCAGAGTAGAACCATCAGTACCAAGTCTAGTTGTGCATAATATCGGCATTTTTTGGTTCAACGATTTTTGTCAGAGTTATGGCCCATCAATGATTTTTTATTTTTAAAGTTTGTCCAGACTACTCTTATATCACTATAGCAATTTCAATGAAACTTTACAGGATTGATCGGTAGCTAAAGTGCTTGCGCTAGTTACACAGGTTTTCCGGTTCAATGATTTTGGTACAGTTATGGCCCTTGAATAAAAAGGTGTTATTAAAGTTTGTCCGGACTACATCTCTTATACCACTTATGCCATTTCAATAAAATTTCACAGGATTGATTGGTAACTCAAGAACTTGCGCATATATCACAGGTTTTCTGCTTGAGATACTTTTGGCCGAGTTATGGCCCTTGAATAAAAAAGGTAATTTTGTGTAACCATCTTCACAGAAGCATGTCTGCACTACCCCTCAGAAACTTCTAGTGTAATTTCATCCAAACTTTACAGGAATGATCAATACCAAGTTTAGTTGTGCATATCATCAGCATTTTGGGTTCAAAGATTTGTCATGTAAAGCATGGTAAATGTTGAGGAGAAGTTTTTAAAAATCTATTTTCAGCTCTTGTGACATACTAATACATCAGACTGGCTTTTGAATAGACCTCCTAAGGATCATTTCTGTGAAGTTTGGTTAAAATCTATTGGTGAATAGGGAGAGATAATGTATAAAGGAATTGTAAATATGAGGTACAATTGACACTTCCATCACAAAAGATGACCTCTAGGTACAAAATGCGCTGATGAGCTAAAGGTGAATTACTTTCCCAGTTGAAGAGTTTGTAAGAACAGTTGGGAGCTTTTAAAGTCTGGACAAAAAGGCTTAGATCAGATACAACTTGCTCTAATACAGTATCAATCATTTCTTACATGTATTTCTTTTATTTCATATGTCATGAAAAACAGCAATAGGAGAAACTAGCACGAAGAAGTGACAACTAGAAAGGGTTTTTTGTCACAAAATCATATGGCTTCCATGTATGTACTCTAGATGGAACAGCGGCATGTAAATCCAACCAACAGTTTGACCTGTGAAAGTCAGACAAGTTTTTTTCTGTTCTAAGCGCTGGCAGCCATCTTTAACAGTGAAACAGTATGTGCCAGCGATATGCACAACAAAGATTGGTACTGATCACTCCTGTAAAGTTCCATAAAATTCCCCCAAAGCAGTTTGATCTGTAAAAGCCAGACGTTCAGCTATGATGGCAAATTTTTGCAAAGGAGCAAAAAAAGCCTTCGATTTGCAGGACAAGGGTTGGTCCTGATCACACCTGTGAAGTTTCATTAAAATCCAAACTGCTATTTAACATGTGAAAGCCGGACAGTGATTTTTATTTTTAGTTCTGGCTGCCATTTTTATCAGCGAAGCAGAACGTGCATGCGATACCCACAACTAAGGTTGGTACTAATCAATCCTGTAAAGTTTCGTTGAATTCCCGCCCGCAGTTTGCCCTGTGAAAGCCAGACAAGTGTTTTCCTTTTTTTAGCTCTGTCAGGCAAAAACTGTCTCCAAACAAATTTCGGAGACATAATTCCTAATTTCCTACATTTATTCATGAATACAGATAACTTTATTGGTTCTACTTCCATTTCTGCACAAGTAATCTTATACAATAAACTGAAGACAGGCAGACAGACATCCAAATATTCCTCCGAATATTCTTCCTCTTTACCTTTCATGGCAATATATGACATTAAACAACTAAACACAGCATGAAATATTTATACTTTTATTTATATATATATAATTTTATTTATAACTGAACACAGTAACATTATATACATAACTAATAACATAAATGAGCTAAAATTAAAACAGGTCAACATTTCTTTGTGTTACTAATACATAATATAATGTCACTTTTTTCCTGTTGTGCATACGCTGATATAAAAACATAATTATAACATATATACGCATGATCACTGTAAAAAATAAACTTGTTTTTGATAAAGAGTAAATATCTTATAAAGTACATTCCTGGTTTGCTAAAATATGTATAAGACATTGCGTTAACCCTTGAATGCTTGAATCATTATTGAAGAATTTTGCCACTTAAAGTATCAAGTCAAACCATGCCGACCATGGTATACAATGCTGGCTGACTAACTTCAAAAGTCCAGTTCATCCTGGACATAATGGACTATTCCAAATAATGGAAGCTTAGGACAAGTCTTTTTCAGAATTTTCAATATACTAGGATTAAAGTACAAATAAGAAGTAAGAAGAATAATGATTTTCTTGATTGATGATTTACTTTCTTTGGCAAATATTCAGTTGTTTTTTTTAAACCTAACAATTCCTATTAAACGCCCTCCCCTAATTAAGGCCCCATCAAGCTTTTTGATATGGAAAAAATCTAGTCACCAGTGCTAACATCCCTAATTTTATTCAAATCCTTCAGAATCCATTTTATTTTATAGTAAACACAAAAATGTATAAACTTTAAAACCTTAACATTTTTAATGTTAATACAATATGTATTTACAATGATTTTTGGATTTAGGAAAAATTGTGTTGTAATAATAGCCCCCCTCCCCCTTTGGAATATATTTAGCCCCCCAGGGCATTTGATAGGATTTATATTTATATTATATGTGAGTTACATAGTTGTAACATTCAATCAAGCAGCTGACAATACAGAGCCCTGGTCTAACTAACTACACAAAGTGTATATGGGATGTCATGACTCTACTCTATACCACTTGTATAGAAGGTATAATGGTATTGCAATCAGCATTCAAAGATAACGACAATGCCTTCCTCATGTCAAAGACACCCTAATATCATAAATTAATCAAGTCATTAAATTCATCGAAACAACAGTATTAATTTTCTATTAATAGATTTTTAATCACAATTGCCCATATCTATTCATCACAATTAAAATTCTGACCACTCATATAATGACAAACATGATCATGTATGCATGTATAACACAATGGCACAAGGAAAATAATGAAGACACTTACTGAATAAATTACTGTAGAATAAATTACGCTTTGGATTTCATCAATAAACTTCTCTCATTAACAATTAAATACATTAATAACTACACGTATATACGTGTATATAATCATTATTAGACAACTTACTGACATATCTGCATTATATGTGGGCAGATACATGTAAATACATCAATATATGAGCAGTGCCGACAAAACCAACATAATGCGATTGCCACCAGCATGGATCCAGACCAGCCTGCACATCCGCACAGTCTGATCAGGATCCACAAACCATTTAACAACTAGAGAAACTGAAAGCGAACAGCATGGATCCTGATCAGACTGCACGGATGTGCAGGCTGATCTGGATCCATCCTGGTAGCAAACGCATTATATTGGTTTTGTCATGGCACGGCTGTTATTAATAATTCATCATCAATTTGACTGTAGTGAATTAATACCTAGATACTTAAATTTCTCTAGGATTTCTGTCATTAACTCAAAATGTCAAAAATTTACAAAATTATAACCAAATCCTGCTCACATGAATTATCTGGCCCTTTAACACAATACACACACATATACAGGCAACCAATCAAGGTAAAATTTAAACTCTAAAAATTAAAATACGAAAAAATATGTTTTTTAATAAACACCGACTCCACATGATGCTGTATTTTTCTAATTACCTAAAATTAAAAAAATGTGAGAGATCAATGACTTATATTTTTTTTGTATTTTTTGTTTAATTGCTAATCTTTTATTCCAATAACAGGAGAATGATTGACCAAAAAGGTTAGTTTTTTTAAGAACATATTTTAGGTCATATGGCGCCGAAACACTCTGGAAGAATGATTTTGGCTACCTCCGGTGCAACAAAAAGATTACTATAATTAAGACATTCCAACTATCATTATAAAAGAGGTGGCTTGACAATAGTTTTGTTGATCATATTGGTCTTTTGATACCTTTACATTTTATAATTATTTACTTGTAATGCTCAATATGTTTATATTTTATATGTAGAGACAATTACCACCTGGTGTGTGTATTTACATAATCATTACATACAAGATATTCTTGCATATCAGACAGGATTATCTATTGTTTACACCAG